CTGTGGAAATTAAGATGTATAAGTATGAGGCATATTAGTTTACCAATCCTTCTGGGAATGCTTGGTTATATTCGATGAGAAATGAGGTTGGCGGTGAACCTGAGATTGTGATAGATGGATATTTTATTGTTGGTCAGTGGAAAATAAATGGGCTATTTATTAGTGAATAGGGAGTTAAATATACAATTTTTGAATATAAAAAGAAGAAACTTACTTGATATCAATTCTGTTGGTGGATAGTCAGATATGAACGATGCAAGCCAATTTGCAGCGTCGAAGTGTGACGACCAATGTTGAAGAGGGGGTTCAATGAATCTGGAACCTATAGCTCTTTTGAAGTTGGGACTTATTTGATATGTAAAGATGTTATTGGATATTAGGGTGGCTTGGATTACTTGAAGTGCTTGTCCATTGATAGTATGAAGGTAAAATAAGCAAGTTATCAAGTGATCATTTTCTTCTATTGTTTCTATTGTCCAATCTATAAAAGTTGGTATTGCCATGAGTTTTTTGGGATTTTGGGGCTTTGGTTATGGGTATTGATTATATTTATAGTGATTTTTATTGGTGTATAATATATTATATGAGTGATGTACTTTTTATGTTATCTAGATATGTTTTTATGTGTTAGTTGTCAGACATGTGAAGATACAGTAATATGTTAAAAGAAAACAGGAATTTTTTATTTTGTGTTGGTAGTATTGTGATGAAACTGTTGTCATGTGAATACATAGTTATGGTCGGATGCATCAGACGTATTGGAAGTAAGAAAACTGATAAGTTAATATAAGTAGGGTGCTATATTGATCCTGGAGTTTTACATGTGGTTCATGCACTATCAAACAAAAATATATGTTGTTTTTTTTGCTTTAGTTTGTACATAAAGCAGATGACAACAAAATATGATTGACAGCTACAGGGAATCAAAAGTATGGATATGGATGGAGAGTTGGCTGGAGGCAGTTGTTTGAAGACCATGCGATTGCTGAGATGGTGGAATTCATATGATCTTCTGATGTTTAGATTCGCTGTCAAATTGTTCATCTAAGCTGCATTTGGCAGATGGTGGTGCTATTGGAGTGTCAGATTCAGGATAACCTGCCGCTTGAGATGTAGAAGATCCAGCTGAAGTAGTGTTTTTGTAAATTGGAGAGGGAGTGACAGCAGGTGGAGACTGATCAGTTGGGGTGGCTGGGGTTATAAGTTCCTGAGATGGAGCTATTGTGTGAATCAATTCTTCTGCTTCTGATTGTGGTGTTTTTTGCTCAGTTATGTGCTGGAGAAGAGGATGGGCTGATGATTTATCAAGAAGAAAAGCTGTGAGAAAATAGAGGGGTGTAAATTGTCTGTGAGATGGTAGATATGATCTTATCTCACAAAGCAATGATTGCTGCTGAATCCTTTCATTGATAACGTTAATAGGAATTGGGATTTTCTGCATTATTGAAAAGAAATGTATACTGAGTAAGGAAAAAAATGAAGCATATTAAATGTTTTGTTTATAAGTAATAATGATTTGATAGATACCTGGATATATCTGTCATAGATTTCAGTAGCAGTCATGTCAAGGAGAGTTTCTGCATATTTTTCTTCGACAGTAACAGTTAGGTAGCCGGTGTCATCGTGTATGTTGAGCTGGAGCTTTGCTCTGTAAAAGTGAGAAGAATAAGATTGAGATGCTGTTTATTGGAAGCAATGTAAAAGAACAGTTATGTAATTGATTCAAGTGAAATGGATACTTTGGTTTTGGCTTTTTGTCCTTTGTTTCACAGAAGCTGCAGTCAAATTCAATATCCATCATTGCTCCTGTTGATTTGCTACATGTAGCACAGCTAGGAACAAAAAATTTCTGCTCAAAGTTGGCTATCAATGGAGTTCCTTTGATCCAAAAGTTTTTGATCTATTTAAAGGCAAAAAAGTTGCAAATCATGATTTTTGTCAGTAAATTATTTATGTAAATTTTTGGTAGCAGAGCATGGAATAAAAAAATGTACTTTACCAGTTCTGAAGAGCCAAGAATTTGTGAGATTGGCCTTATTTGAGTGTGCACTGGAGCAACTACTTTTTGATTCATTTTTTCATAGAGCCTTTGACTGATGACTTTTTCAATATATGCTTTATTTTCGTCACACCTGTGATATTTATGGAATTTTTTGGAATGGTTATATTTATTTGTGAATATGAAAGTGTTTGTGTCTAAGAGCAGGAAATAAAGGGATACATACCAGACTTGGAGTGATGCTGCCTCCTGTAGTGGTGGATCAGTGACAATTGTGGTATTGGGACGAGTAGCAATGTCAATTCCTTGAGTTGTTATTTGCAGAGAGGTCAAAATAAGACAAAAGAAGGTATTTGATTAGATAAATGATTTTGTATGAGTTAATTAAGTTATGATTTTAATGAAAAGCAATATATTAACCATGATATGTTGTGATCTTTGGCCGGACAAGTAGAACTATTGGACATGTGTGAATAGTATTCATGAGCTGAATTCCTTCAATATAGACATATGGTTCCCACATGGTGAAGATCATGGGTCTACATCTGAAATATATAGATATCAATGTGCAAGAGAGATAATTTATTACATGGATAATTAGTCATGTGAAAAACAGAGAATTTAGTAGATAGATAAGTGGTTGAATGAAGATATGGTGTATGTGGAAACATGTTGAAGAAGAAAAAAAGTTGGAAATTTACTCAGCATTAACAGCGACAAATCTGCGAATTGTGCGTGGTCCTTTTACTGTTGGTATAATAGATTCTGGAAATCCTTGAATTAGAGCACAAAGAAGATCTGCAGAGATAAAATGATTTGATAAATAGAGAGTGTAAGTGCAGAAAAAGTTAAGGTATATATGATTGTATTGAATGAATGATAATAGTAAATGTATGTTTACTGTATCTGATGGAATCATTGTTTTTATATTTGTCAAGATCCCAGAAGGAAGTTATTGGGAACCGATTGTGGAGGTTCAACTCATTCTGTTTCTGTGCTTGCTTGATGAAAGTTGTTTTGCTGATGGTTAGTTGCCATGATACAGATCCAGCTTGGTTTCTTTGATCAGTGATGGCTGAAATAGCAGCATTGCCAATGTAATAGGTACAGTAAAGATCAAGTTTGGTATTTGCATAGTTCACATCTCTGGTAAAAGCAATTGCCTGGATTGATTCATTCTGGAAAGAAAGCAGTGATCAATTGGTTAATAAGTTCCTGATAAATGAAGTTAAAAATTGATAATAGATGAATAGGGAATGGTATAGTGATATAATTGAAAGTGTTTGTTAATTTCATGGATAATTATCATAGTAAAGAGTAATGACAATATTTAGTTCTATGGCTGATATGTTTTTTATGGAAGGAATTTGTAATATGGAATTCACATGTTCATCTGCAAACATGAAACGCTGGAATGTGTTTTGGTCTTTTCCTCTGAAGATGTTTGTTTTTTCAATAAGGATGACTTTTATGATCCAGTCATTTGATTTGTCTGTCAGGTTGCTGATAGTAGTGCACTTGTCTTCCATATCTGTAACATGAAATATAAAGAATATATTATTAGCCATAGAGATATGTAAATATATAGAGTAATAAATATGCAGCTGCCAAAATTTCCTGATAAACTACATTGCGTGTGCAATCATTCGATAGAGAATCAGAAGAAACAGGTCTAAGCAGAATTTAACATTATCAGCACTTTTAGCTCTTGATAGTGCAACATACAATTGACCATGTGAAAATACTGGTTCTTTCAAATATAATCCTACAAAATCAAGTGTTTGTCCTTGTGATTTGTTAATTGTCATGGCAAAGCACAATGAAATTGGAAATTGAGTGCGTTTGAAGGGTATTGGGTATGATTCATCATTGGAGCTATGTAATGGAATCCGGCGAATGAAAACTTGTTTACCAGAATGAATTCCAACAGAAATTTCAGCATGAATAACATTTTTGTTGAAATTCAAACAAATCAAACGTGTTCCATTGCATAATCCTTCTGCAGGATTGAGATTTCTTAGGAGTATAACTGGGCAATTTCGCTTCAATATCAGTTCATGTGGGGGTAGTCCTAGAGGGTGAATAGTATTTAAGAAATCACCATGATCGGCTTGCTTGCTTGGATCTATGGTTTGATCGAAACTGATGTATTTGACTTCTTCTCCAGGGAACTTCTGGATCAACATTTGATTGACTTCATGTACAATATCATTTGTTGTGCTGAGAATGACTCTATTAATAACTGTAGAATTACCAGGTAGAAAGCTGGACAAGGATGGATAAACTGCATTGATGAGGGTGTCTAAGGATGGCTGATCATCAATAAAAGGAATGATCGTATGAGAAGGCAACTTTACTTTGTCATCTACAATGACTTGCTGTGTGCCATTTCCAATGTTTAGAAGAAAATCTGAAAATGATGGATCCAAAGATGCTCTCATATTCTTAGTTAGGTGGATTTTTTCAAGCTGAGGCCAGACATATGAATTGATAAGTGATGCAGAAATGTAATCTTCCTTTTGACCTTTCCTTACAACTGGTAGAGTTTGTCGGAAATCTCCGCCAAAGTTGATTTTTCCACCAAAGATCTGATCACAATTCAACAAGTCTCTGAGTAATCTATCAAACGATTCAATTGCAAATTTTTTGGCCATTGCTGCTTCATCCCATATTATGAGTTTTGCAGTCTTGATTAGTTGAGATACGGCACTTTGTTTAGAAAGATTGCATGTGCTGTTAGCTTCATGATGAAGTGGAATCTTGAAGCGTGAGTGAGCAGTACGACCTCCTGGAAGTATTGATGCAGCTGCTCCTGATGTTGCAGTTGCTAATGCAATGTCACCTTTTGATCTGATTGTTGCCAGCAGTGCTTTATAAAGGAAAGATTTTCCTGTGCCACCAGGACCATTAATGAAGAATGCAGCTGATGTATTTGCATTGACTTTTTGCATTATTTTGTCAAATGCAGATTGTTGTCCAGGATTTAACATAGAAACTGCTGCTAAATCTTCTGTGGAGACAGGTATTGCAAGCTCAGCTTGTATTTCTTTAGCAGGATTGATGAATCAACAGTGGGAATAAAATCTGAGAAACTATAGGTCTTTATGCTTTTTCCCATTATTTGCAAATAGTGATCAATTGAAGCAAGGACCTTTCTGATAATTTCAGTTTCTGATAATGATGAGTCTGCTGCGATATCTTCTGATAAGAATGGCTGAAACTTCGACCATAATTTATGTGGATCAGCTGGTGAGCAATGGACTAAGATCACTGCAAATAGCTGTCTTAGACATTGTGGCATTTTGTAGAGAATAGCTTCTGATAAGCATTCTTCAGCTCCATTGTCTATATGAAGCAATCCTCGTAATTCTGCTGCTTCTTTAAATGAAGATGCTAGATAACCATTAACTGTTTTTAGATCATCAAAGGATGTTGGTGCTCGAACGTGCATGAGCAGTATTCTGAAATAATATCTTTCTCCTTCAATTGGATGTGCTGTTGTTACACGACCGATGACCTGTCCTCATTTTCTAGTATACCATATTCTGTCACCTTCATCCCAGACAAAATGTTGAGGAAATTCCTTGTAGAGAAGATTAAGATTTTCTGCATCTTTATTTGTTTGATTCATTGAAAAGAATTCTGTCAACATTGTTCGTGAAAGTCTGTCATCTTGAATGACATCTGTTAGAGGCCGATTCTCATCGAAGCACATCGATTGGTAGTTTTCAAGGTGTAGTTGAAGCAAAATAACTGATGGACTGATAAGATTGAGATCAAAAGCATAAATCCTCCACATAGCTTCAGGAGCACATACCCACCTTGCAGACTGAAAATTTTTTATCTCATCAATAATCTTATCTGCTTGTTCTGCTGTCAATTGATACATCACTCTGTCATGACCCTTGTATATATATTTATAGATGTACTTTACAGCTTCAATGGCAGAACATATTTCAACGTTGATGTGACAATCATATTTTGCAAGAAGATATGGATTGTAAGGGACAATCCATCGGTTATCTAGCTCATGTTGTCTGATATAGACTTTGCTTCCATCATCTCTTCTCCTATATATAGGATAGGAATTTTTTCCATGCTTTGTATATTCTGAGAAATCCTTTGGATAGTTGTTTCTGCACTTGTGATTTTGTCGCATGCATGGATTACTTGGATTCATTGATCCACAAGGGCCATGAAGCATGTGCTTTATCACCAGAGAATATAGATATGGTGATTGATGTCTATCAGGAAGCTCTGCACAAACAATGTTGTCATATTCTTCTGGTGAGAACATCTTTGATTGTTCCTTTAGAATGATCAGGAAGTGAGCATGGGGCAAACCTCTTTTTTGAAATTCAATGACATAAGTGTAAGCAGCAACATGACCGAAAAGATGTTTCTTGAAAAGATCTTCTTTCAATTGTTCAATTTTTGCACGAAATACCCGTGTAATCAAATCAGGTCGGTTTTGACACTCATCTGTTTCAAGCAGATGGTTCTTGATCTCAGGCCAAGATGGATTGCAGGTCATTGTGAGGAAAATATCTGGCTTTCCATAACGTTGCACAAGGGTCATTGCATCCATATATCGGCGTCGCATATCTCTTGGTCCTCCTATAAAACTTGCAGGCAGAATGATGCGTTTTCCGACATTTGATGCATTTGTGGATCCTTTTGCTATGACATCAAGTAATCCTTGATAAGCCTCTGTTCTCAATTTGTTTTGTTTGCCTCTGTGAAATTCAAGCCGCGATGTCTCTAACTTGACATAGGTGCCAACAGAATATTGCTGCAATAGACGACCGATATGCAGCAAGTTTGATTGATCTCCATTTCGCATTTGAAATTTATAAGCATAATATTCTCTGCATGAAACAGTTGGTCTCTGTCTTTTTTTCTTCTTAGCAGTTGTTAACAGAAGGAAAATGTAATAATGAGGTATTATATATTATAGTAAATAAGAAGGAAAAAATGTGAATGTTTGTAGATATATGTATACCTGTTTGTTCTGCAATAAATAGTTGTTCTATATCAGTGCATTGATCAATAGAAAGCAAATTTTCTTTCTCACAAGTTTGATCAAGCTGCTGAAGAATCTGAGTTTTGGTCTTTCTAAGAATTCCAGGATGCCATCCAGTCTCTCTAGAAGGAAATATCAATGGATATTGTAATGTGTCATAACAACCATAATGTTGTTTGACTATTTTTCTGCTTCCTGTTTTTGTACATATTTCAATCTCTCTTGAACTGTCTCCATTAACACTGTCACTATCCAACCAAACTGCTGCAACTTGAGATACTGAAGGAATATTGAACACACGTTGATCCAATCCAGGATTAGATTTGAGGAAAATCCTGTATTTATCCAGGTCTTTAATCTCTGCTAATCTTCTAATAAAGACAGAATAAGGATTGTGATCAAGAATAGATTTTAGCTGCTGAACAATTGACTCCCTAAATTTGCTTGATAGAGCCATTCTATTTTGTACTTCATGCTCCGTATCATAAAAATAGAGCTGCAGATTTGATGCTTTTTCACCATCAGAAGGTTTCAGTGGATTGACAAAATGATAGATTTGTCCTTGAACTCGAAAAGTATAAATGCCTTTATTTCTGTTGCTCAGCTCCCTGTCATAGTGGACTCCCAATGATGTGAAGGCAAACATATTGTTGTAACTTTTGATACATTGCCTAAATTCAACAGCTTCAGGAGTGTTTCCTCTATAAAGTTGCAGCAATCTATCTGTCATTTTTGTTTCTGCTAGACGAATCTCTCCGGATGCACAACAAAATTTCGATGGTTCCATATAAAAACGCTTAGCATGACAATGTGGACAATCTGGAACAGATGGTAGGATGGTTGGCTGTAATGGTATTTGCTGGAGCAATGGTATATTTTTTTTGCGACGTGTCGGGGCTAGAAGCATTAAATAGGAATCTGTATGAGTTATAATTGGAAGATGGACAAACTGTTTGTTATATACAAAGAGATAAAAGGAATGAAAATATTATTAATATCTGTTGGCGCACCACTTTGATTTTGGATGGAGGAGGATGAAATCAATGGTTCTGTCATTACCCTTGATTGTGCTGAAAATCCGTTATTATAATTTCAGCTATAATATTGATAGAAAACCGCAATGCAGTATCGATATCTATTATAATGATACAGCATTCAGTGTTTTTTCAGATTATTGAAAGAGATAGAGAACGTACAGATATCAATGGGACAATTGAACCACTGAGTGGTAGCATTAGGCAACGATGAAGTGAAAAGATCTTGTAAGACATGATCATTTACTGCAGGAAGATGGTCTATATGCATATACATAGGAATGGAGAAATTTAAAATTTAGGTACTGTTGAAATGAATAATAAAGGAGGTGAAAAAATAAATAGAATGACTAAGAAGCGAGTAGGTACATGGATCAATCTCAGATATAGCCGATGTAGATAAGCTATCCACTATATGAGAAAGTGGCATAGTTGAGAAAGGAAAGCACGAGGAGGCACTTTGAACAAAAGATGAAGATGGGAAAAGACCATATGGACATTGATAAGGCAAAGAACTGGTAGCTGTTGATGTAGCAGTATAAATAGGGACATCAATTAAATGGTGTTCATCTTCTAAAGGATTGGCAACAGGAAGAACATCTGCAACATTAACGTTGCGTGTTTGTTGAAGTGTAATAGAGGTTGTTTTTTTGCTGTCTATCTGAGCACCATGCTGCTGACGATTGACTATCTTGGCAACATATCTGTCTCGGCGTCGCTGATTATTTTGCATGCGGTATTCATCTTGCGAGCAAAGTTTACGCTTTCGAGGCATACTAAATAAAAGTAAGAAACATAAAGGAAGATACAGTATAATTAAGGGTATCTATAATTATATAGGATAGCTAATTAATGAGTCGATGCTGGAGGAAAAATGACAGAGCGTAGGAATCACAATTGTTATAGAGGTAGGAACAAATATAAAGGATAGCATCGCAATAAAAGTATAGGAAATTTATATGAGCCAGGAAAATATGAAAATCAGATAAGATAGTAAGTGCAATATAAAAGAATATAGATAACGTTTTACCTGATAGGAAAGAGCCAGAAAGAAATGGAACAAGGAGGAAAAGACAGAAGAGCCTGGAATCAAAATATACAGAGATTTATAATAAATCAAAATAAAAAGGAGAAACAATCAAAATCAAGAAAAAGAATTGATAGTAAAATCAGATACAACAAAAGATAAAAGCATGCATGGAATGAAAATGAAACGTACATAACAATGGAATGAGAACAGTATAATGCAGTGAGTAAAAACATGGACAAGGTTGCTAAAAAAAGGCGTAACCAAAGGAGCCAGCAATCTATTGGAAGAAAAAGACATGCATGAGAGATTAAATGCATCATCATAAATAGCAGAAGCAATAATATATAATGACATAAATGCATGGCTGATCAACAGCGGACAACAACAAAGGGCAAAGTTGTTATTAATGGAGGGGGAAGACTGGTGGAAGAGATATATAAAACATGGACATAAAAGGAAACCAAACATGAAACATGAAGAAAAGTTGAGAGAAACAAAACAAAGAATTAGAAGGTAATTTACCAGGCAGAACTTGGAAGAACGAAGATGCAGTAAAGCAGGAGAAAATAAGGATGAGAGAAAGATATAGTAGAATAAAAGGTGAGAAACTCAGTTGGGAAGTCTATTGTGATGAAAGGAATGGAAATAAGAGGTCAAATAAAAGTGGGAAATTAGCGGTAGTACAAATCGCATGGATAGCAGACTGGAAGGAATAAAAGTAAGTAATTAAGATAGAATGAACAGCTGTAGGAAAGTGTAAGTACCAAAAAAGTAAACAGATGCATTTAATGTAGATTAGACAGTGAAAACCAATTGATGTGAAAAGGATAAAGACAAGTACCACCAATGCAATTGGATGAATAGCACGTGGCTATAAAGCAGGCTTAATATAGAAAACGACATGGGCAGACCCAATATTGATTAGACAATGGATAGGGGATTGTAGACACCAAATTTTTAGTGTAGTTTTATTTACTATTATTTTGCTTGTCATGTTAGTTTTTATTTGCTTTTAGTCTTTTATTTTTGTTTTAAGTCATTTTAGCATAGAATTTTTCAAAAAAAAAGAAAGAGCAAAAAAGAAGAAAAATTATTAGCATTTTTGTTTTATCTTTTATTCATAGTTTGTTCATTTTATCTGAATTTATTTAGTTCATCATTAAAAAAAAAATTAAAATTTAAAAAAAAGGGAAACCTGATAACGGGTTTTAGGCTATTTAAGAGGCGCCTCGAAAAAAAACATTCGCGGCAGAAAGGATTTGCAGCTGCATGGGTTGGCTCCGTTTGATGGTGAAGGTACAAGCCATCTGGCTTCATCCAAACCATCATCGATAGGGTTCAGTGATAACTCCCCATATAAAAGGAAAGAGAGACAGCAAATGAAGCAGAGGATTTTATGACGGCTGAGCGAGAGTAGGGGAAAATCTGGGGGGAGAGTCTGGATGGCTAGGGAAGAAGGAAAAAGCTGAGAGAGAACCAGAGAGCTGGGGTTGGAACAAGAGGGAGAAAGAAATGGCTAGAACAGAAAGAATAGCGGATGAAAAAGAAAAGCAGGGGAGATTGTGAAGGAAAGGATAGAGAGGGGCTGTTGAGTAGAGAAAAGGGTAACGGGGAAATCTGAATAAAAGGAAACACCAGAAGAAGGGAACCTCAGGCAGTGACGGGGAAGAGAGCTTCGGTAGTAGCGACGGAAAGAAAAAGGAAAACACAGAGCGGCCGCAACCTCGGAGGATCCTATCGTCGACATTGGCTGAAGTGGTGGCGCTGTCCTTGCTGTTGCCGCTCTCCTTCTACCGCCGTGGACTCAGCCACCACACTTCACCCCCAAAACCCACTGGCGCACCTTCGAAGATCCGGCAGAAACCACCTGAGCCCTTTCTTTAGTCATCCCACGCCTCATTATGGGTTTAAGGTAAGACCCTTGCCTTTTATGGTAGAAAGCTGTTTTCTTTAGTTGTTATTGCTTTCGTTTTGCTGTATAGTGGTTCTGTCTTCACTTCCATGATTGGTTGATGGTTCTTCGCTGATAAAGTTATGATATTTGGAGGTTATCAATAGGTCTCATTTGAATTACTGCGTGATCATGTTTTGGCCGAACGAAAATTGCAAAAAGTTTACAGCTTTGATTGTTTCTGTGCTTAGAATCTTTTAGCACATATAAATCTAGAGTTGGGTTCAGTTTGGACTCGGTTTTGAGGGACAGAAACCCAGGATTTTTCTTTGTGACTGGTTACTTTCATTTCACTGTCTTTCATATCAGATTAACGCTTGGCATGTGCTTGTTATAGATGATCATTGAAAACTCAGATTTAAGTCTCCCTGATTCGCATGACCTTTACTCCTGTTTGCATTGACGTCTATCATCAGGTGGATGATGGTTTCATCATATTAGCTACTGGCCCTTCAAGTGCATGAAAAAGGGGATTCTTCGCTGTTTCCTTGCACTTCATTTGCATTTTCGCAGTCCGAATCTATCTTGTTCTTGTAATGCCCCATCTAACACTTTCAGATTCATGTCCGTTTCTGCATTTGAAGAAGTGAATTTGATTCTTGTCTGGCTCAGATATTGCAGCAATATATACAGAACCTTTTCTTTCCTTGTTTTTCTGGTTGAGTCTTAGTAGATGTTCAAGTCACATTGGCTGCGTTTGTGACTGGAAGTTGTTGAGGTTCCAAAGCTTCACGAACTTATCACTCTTTTTGTGACCTATTCTCATTTGCTGTTTGGATTGTGTTGTCCATGTGACAGTTAAGAACATAATAAAAGATGGATTGCTGCAATACTGTGAATTCATTGTGACTATCTGCATTAAAAAGGAAAAGGACTCCCGTTGCTCTAAATGAAGTTTTGGGCTGGATTCCTTTGCTGCATTTTGCTGCTTTGTCGTTGTTCTTTGGCTCGGTTTTTATCCGAGAGATTCAGCAAAGCTGAACAACCATGTTTGAGTTGAGAGTTTGTGGAGTTACATGAGTTTGGGTTGATAAACAATGAGTGTTGGGCAATGTTTTGATGAATTTGATTCGAAGTCTTTTGCCGAAAGCTTCATGAGTTTGTGAAACTTTATTGCAGAATGTTTTCTTACGTCCTTGCATGAGGATTGCATGAAATAACTTTCTAAAATTGCACTTTGGCCCCCAAGTCTCCCTTGGTTCCACTATGACCCAACTAATTGAATATTTTCATCAATTTGATCCTTCGCAACTTTGATTTTTGCAACTTCATTGCTTGTTTGCTTTAATTAATTAATTACCATATTTTGTTTAATTGCATTTAATTCGTGATTTTAAGAGCTTTATGACCAAGTGAGCTCGTGTTTTGCATATTTTCTTTAACGCTCTTAATTAAATTGGTACCCTAACCATTTTATTATTTTGGAGGATGAATAAGTGACTTCACCCCATTAGAGCTCCATTTCAAGGGAGGTATGACTTCTTTTTTCGTCTCTCTCCTATGTGATCCAACGTGCTAAGTGAGAATTGCATGTCTACTTTTCTTTCCTTGCTTTTCCTTAATTCATTTCATTTATTTCATTTACTTTTGCTTTTATTAAAGTCATTCTTTTATTTATTTATGGGGTATGTGTACACCTCTTGGCTTGTAATAGATAGGGTTTGGAGTGCATTTTTATTCCTTTTTCCTCTTTCCCATTTGTTTTAGTTAGCAAA